AGGCGCAAACAACAGCAGTGAAGCCCCACCCCCGCTGCCCCCCAAGTCCCCCAGCTTCCAGGCCCCGCCGCAGAAACCCAATGCGCAGGTCTTGCCGGCGCCGCCCGCCCCTCCGGGAGCCCAGCCGTTTCTGCAGAAGAAGAGGCACGGCCGGGGCCCAGGTAAGTGCACCATGAGCCCAGGGCGACCATCAGAGGATCATTCCTTGCCAGCAGTTGTGGCTGTGCTCAGGAACAAGGGACAGGCCTTCTCCTGTGAGCCACTTGGTAACACCCTGGGATGCCTCAAACCTTAGGATTGCATTTTAGGCCAGAGCTACTCAGTGCCCCCCGTGGAGCACAATACAGCCTTGGCGTTGTGTGGAACTTATTATTAGAGGTATCCATTTTAGAGATGGAAACCAAGGATAAAGGAGGCCGGAGACTTGCCCCAAATCATGTGAAATGCTAAGCAAGGAGTTCTGGCCTTGATCCCTGCTGTTACTAACTGTGTGACCCTTTGCAACCACTTAGCCTCTCTGTGCTCCCTTCTCCTCATCTGTAAAATGGGGGTAGATAGCATTCATTCCTACCTCCTGGGCTTGTTAGAAGAATTAAGTGAGTTCTCATGTTAAGGTGCTTGGAACAGGGCCTGACAACTGTGAGCTTTATAGCAGAGTCATTTCTTCGTAAATGTGCATGTGTGCAGGTATGGATGTGTGTGTTGGAGTATGTTTGTGTGTGTGGATGAATGTGTGTGTGTGTTGAGGTATGTGTAGATGTGTGTTTATGAGTGTGTGCATATGTTTTTTGAGTGTGTGTGTGTCGATGAGTGTGTGGCCGTGGATGTGGGTGTGTGTGGATGTGTGTTAATGAGTGTGTGCGTATTTTTTAGTGTGTTTGCATGAATGAGTATGTGGTTGTGGATGTGGGTGTGTGTGGATGTGTGTTTATGAGTGTGTGCATATTTTTGAGTGTGTTTGTGTGCATGGATGAGCATGTGGTCGTGGATGTGGGTGTGTGTCAACATCCTTCCCACTCCAAATCTACTCCCTGGGGTGAAGTGGGAATGGGGAGCATGTGGTTTGTTTCCAGAACCGGGTTTTCCATAGAATATTGACGTGAGTTATTCCAGTGTGGTCCCCAGAGGGAATCGTCACCAGCCCTCTGGAGGTTGGGTTTGTACTCTCCTTGGTTCCCACAATTCTCCACTGACTTGTGAAAACTGAGGGTCGATATTTTCAGCCAAATATTAAAAATAATTCCTGTACATATCCAGCACAGACAATTTTGAATGGCATGTGCATGCCCCAGGACTGGCTTCCCTGCTCCCTGTAGCAGTGGGGCTTCATCCACCTTTAGTGACCATCTGAATGGAAAGCACATCCATATGTCCACACACACACCCATGTCCATGCACACACACTTATCCACACACACTCAAAACACAGGCACACACTCATAAACACATGTCCATGCACACCCACATCCACAGCCACATAATCATCCACGCACACAAACACACTCAGAACACATGCACGCACCCATAAACACATGTCCATACATCCCCACATCCATGGCTGCACACTCATCCATGCACACACACTCAAAACATGCACACACTCATTAGCACACATTCACACATACCCACATCCACAGCCACACACATGACTGCGTAGTCATACACACAACAAACACACTCAAAATGTGCACACACTCATAAACACATGTCCACACACACCCACATCCACGGCCACATACTCATCCAGCACACAAACACACTAAAAAACACATGAACATACTCATAAACATACATCCACATCCAGCACATACACACACACTCACCCACACATGCAAACATACTCTTAACACACATCCATACTTATGTGCATACACACATTTCTTTGTCTTTTAAAAAATCTTTTGATGCAGAAAGTTTCTTAAATGTATTTACTTGAACTAAAAAGAATACAAGCTTACTGTAGAGCAAGTAGAGGGAAATTGAAATCATCCAGAGATGAAAATGGCCATTTGGATATGTTTCCTTCGTTTTTTTCCTGAATATGTATACATGTTTACATGACTAACACCATTATGTATACATGTTTACATGACTAACACCATTTTGCACTTACAGTTTTGTGTTCTGCTTTTTTAATATCATTTTAAAAGCAGTTTTATCAAATTGTTAAAAATTTATTACAAGTATGTTAATTTGATCAATATCAGTATATTATATTCCTAGTGAGATATCTGAGCTGATTCTATTTTTTGTTATTATGAATAATGTTGCAAGGAATATTGTCATAGAAATTTTAGTCTACATTTTAGATTTGTAAATTTCTTAAAGGGAATTCCTGGTACAAAGGGCAAAGATAGTTTTAAGATTCTTAATCACAAGAGATAAGGTTTTAATCATTCTTTCAGCTGACTGATCATGCTGAGAGCCAGCATTCATACTGGTAAGGCCCTTATTTGTGATTTTTAAATGTTCATGGTGTGGTGAGAAAAACTATGCTTTGGATTCAGAGGGGTTTGAGTTCAAATTCTCAGTTCCCTTCCCACTCCTATGGAATCTCGTACCAGTTGGACTTTTTCTTAATCATCTTGGTTTTTTCATTTGACATATGGCAATAATAATAACACCTTTCACATAGGAGCATTAGAAATATTAAATGAGAAAATGCACACAAAAGGCTTGCATGTGACTTAGGCTCTGTCAGTGGTATTTCCCTCCCGCACAAAGGGGCAGCTCTTTATCCAGAAGAGGGTCAGCAACCCCTTTAGCCCTTACCCCGCTTGCCTGCTTGTGGGAGCACGTCGATTCCTAGTGGATCCCTGCGCCCAGGAAGGAAAGGCCAGAAAGGGAGAGGAAGGAGGCAGAGAAGGAAAAAGGATGATGGGCAGATGCTGAAGGGAGAGGGGACGCTAGGGTGGTGGCTGGCGGCTGAGCACCTGCTACAACTGGAGTGCCCGTACCTGCTCCAGGGCAGTGATCCCCAGGCCAGGAGCGGATGCTTGTCTGGCCTCTGTTTTGATGTCTCTGGATGTGACACTTGGTGTGTCCTTGTATACAGTGAGGGTGTTTTCTGCTTCAGCACAACTTGGGAGGAGGAGAAGGAGGTCAGAGGTCGTGACTGAAATCTTGACACAGATAATAGTGGTGTGTTGTCATCATTTTACAAAGCAGGGTGATGTGTGCAATGTCACTGGAAAAATAAGCAGCAGTAGAACACCTGCGCTGATGTGCCAAGACAGAGGGTTATGATTGCCAATGAGAGAGTGAGCCTCCCACAGGTGTGATCAGGGGAAGACTTGAGGAAGTAGGTTGGATGTAATTGGGCTCTGGGTGGGCACGTAGGGTTTCAGCTGACTGGAAGGAGAACCAGGGGCTGGCAGTGCTAAAGAACCAGTGTGTGTGGAAACGCAGGGCAGAAGAAGCCCCTGACAACTCCTGCTAGCCTCTTCCGGGCCTCACTTGCAGACAGCCCTTCTGGTCTTGTGACTCTACAGTGATTCCCTTCTTTGGGCTATACCCTCTGATGATGAGGGTTTCACCATCAGTCTTACTGCATGCCACTCAACTTAGATCAACTCATTTAATCTCAGTGACCCTAGGAGGTGTGTGTACTATTATTATTCCCACTTTACAGAGGAGGAAACTGAGGCACAAAGAGGCTATGTTCCTTATCCCAATGGGAGAGCTGCAATTCAGTGCCAAGCAGGTTGGCTCCAGAAGCCACCCTTTTTACTCACTGTGTCATAGCACATCCAGAGATCTAAATGCCTGACTTCTCACGTAAGGTTATAGTATCCATTGTCTTCATTCCTGTGTCTCAATACACCATCATCTTCTCTGTAAGGGACCAGTGGGGGAAAGCTAAATCCACCCCCTGCACCCCCTGCGAGATCGCCCACCACAGAGCTTTCAAGCAAGAGCCAGCAGACCTCAACCTGGACCCCAACACAGCAGCCTGGAGGTCAACTGCGAAATGGAAACCTGCACATCATTGGTAAGTGGGGTGTGCCTCCACTGGGCTGGCTGCTCATAGGAAAGTGATTTCCCTGGTCCACTGCAGAGGAGAGTTTGCAGCCACAGTGCTGTTGTTTTCATGCGTGTGCTTCTCAGTGAATAGGGGGCTCGCCCTAGCACCGAACAGCCCACTGGTTCTGTTAAATAGGGTTTCTCCCAAGGTTTTCTGGGTTGTTCCAGGGCTCACTCTCTAGCCTTCTGATCAGATTAGGGAAAGAGAAAAAAGAAGCCAACATTTAAACCCTGTGTATGTATGTGTGTGTGCGCGTATGTGCGTGTGTCCCCATGGAGAAGTTGATGCATAAGCTGGAAAGATGAGAGTGACTTGGATTAGGGGAAGGAATGGATGAAAGGCCCACCAGGCAGAGGACAATTAGAGTAAAAGTATGGAGGTAGGAAGGAAAGTCACCTGGGCTTCGAAGTGAGACCATAGAATCTTTGGATCCCTTCTGCGTGCTGGGCTACTGTCAGACACAAGGCCCAGATCACAAAGCAGGGACTCAGCCCGTGAAAGGGTCCAAGAGCCTTCCCCTCCTGCAACAAGAGCTCAGGGAAGAAGCTGTTGGTGCTAGGGAGCCTGGGTCCTGCACTGGACACAGGCCATGCTTCTCCCACCAGCCACACTGAGGACTTTTTTCTGCCCACCTCTCCCTCCTCCCAAGGCCCTCCTAGGAGCTGAGTAGGTGCTTCTGGTTGCTGGGACTTAACTGGTACTTTATTGGTACCAGGGTCTCAACCTCTGACTCCGAACCCTGGAAAGCCCAGTGCCACTTCTGCCATTTTTGCAGCTTCCCCAGGGTGTTTTGGGGTGCATTGGGGTGGGTGATGGGCAGTAACTATGGATTCCTCTTTACCTGCCTCCCTTCATCCCAGCTAACAAGTGAAACGTGAGAGGTGGGCAGATGTCTTAGGAGTGGCCCTGCCCTTAAAAATTCCTGCACTGAGCAGGCAAACAGAAAACAGTGTATTCCATCAGAGTAACCTGTGTGCTCCCAGAAATGATCAAACATTGGGTCATGACAGTAATCTGAGTAAACTTTATCATTTCCCACATGTGCAGATGACTTTGAGTCTAAATTCACATTCCATTCAGTGGAAGACTTTCCCCCTCCGGATGAATATAAACCATGCCAGAAGATCTACCCCAGCAAGATCCCCAGAAGTAAGTACCACCTTGATAAGACTCCTGGCTTTTCCTCACCCTCCAAAATTAGGTGCTTGGTGTGTAAGGATTGGTCACAGACTGTCTGAATGATGATGCATGATGTCACTGTACTATGCAAGGGTGTAGTGCTGTACATACTTCTGGAAGTTTCAGAACATTTATTTGTCCTAATACCAAAAGGTTCATTTAGAAGTTTCTACAGAAGACTGAGGTTAACGTTGGCCTCAGATTTGGATGTCTAAATTTACATACCACTCATTCCACTCCTCCCTGGAGCATTTTGAAGAGGAAACCAAACACCCCAAAACAACAGCAAAATGGGATACAGAAGCTTTGCATGAATGAACTTGAAAATCTCCAATTCAGAACTCTGGCAAACCACGAAACAGAATTTCCTCAGGTCAGAGGTTCTCAACTTTGGCTACATCAGCATGACCTTAAGGAAGCTTTAACAAATCCTGAAGGCCAAGCTACATGTAGACCAACTAATCAGAATAGCTAGGGTGAGATCCAGGTGTTGATTTTTTTTTTTTTTTTTTTGAGTTGGAGTCTCACTCTGTCGCCCAGACTGGAGTGCAGTGGCCACTCCCGGCCACCCCAGACTCGACCCGCTGGGCTCCGGCAATCCTTCCACCTCAGCCTAACAAGTAGCCGGAATTATAGGCATGCGCTAACACGCCCGGCTGATTTTTTGATTTATTGTAGAGATGAGGTCTTGCTGCGCAGGCGGCTCTCGAACCCACGGGCTCAGGCAATCTACTCACCTCAACCTCCCAAAGGCGCGGGATTACAGGCTGAGCCACCGAGCCCGGCTAGGTGTTGATATTTTTGAAAGCTGACAGGTGATTCCAGCGCACAGCCAAGGCTGAGAATCACAGTGCAGTCAGAGCCTGCCTCCTTCTGATTTCATTTTGTGGTAAGGCTTCAAAAGAAGCCTTAGCTTGACTCAGCTTACCTGTTCAGCCTTAAGAGCAGAGAGATAGGGCCTGGCCTGCCCATTAATTAACAGGAGCCCATTCTTGTCTGTTGCTGGACCAATCAAATTGGGCAGTAACATGGTAGCAGAGACAACAATTTAGGGTCAGAGTCAGATGTCTTCCCACCCCACATTCTGAGGCCCAGACAGCTGTGGACCCAAATGTAAAATCATCTGAGTCCAGGGTTTGCCCATGACCGGGAATTGAAAACCAGGCTCTTTGGCTCTCTTCTTTCAGAAGGACTTTGGTGACGTCCCATCTGCAGGACCCAGCTTCCTGCAGAGCAGGAGGACTCAAGCCTGCTCTCTGCTCAGGTAGAAATCCTTTCAGGATCAGCCTGGGCTGGTCTTTCTCTGCCCACCTGTGGGACTGCACATTTAGAAGATATGACCTTGTGTGCTTTTTGAATAATATGTAAATACCACTGTTCTGAATTAAGAGAGAGAGGTAAAAAAGAGGGAGCACTTTAAAGGAAGCCATTATCAATAGCCCTTGAAGATGCAGCAACAGAAGACAGGTGCTATGTCCTCTTGTATTCTGACTCATTCAACAAATGCACATAAATTGCCCATTATGCAACAAATGCCCTGCTAGCACCAGAGGCTGCAAAGTATAAGAAACAAGCACACTCCTGAGACAGATGTGGGAGAAATTAGCTGTGACCTGATGAGAGTGTCTAAATCAATGATTGTTTAGAGCACTCAGGGCACTCCAGTGGGCATGGGGGTAGAAGCAGACAGGACCAACCCCGGAGAAGGCACCATAGTGCTTGGTGCTTGTAGGAACCACAAGTCAGTCCCACATGGTGCGTCAGGACACAAGGTGCCTGGCTGGGGTAAGACCACACAGGCTACCAGAGGTGTTAGGTTGGGAGGGTGTATCAATATGCAACACCCCTTTCCCATCTTGTGAAGTATTTACAGGAATCAGGTAGACGAAGACCTAAGTGGCTGTGTTCTTATAGGAGGACACGACTTGGGTGTTCAACAACAACGGACTTCTTTTTTATTTTTTGAGTTGGAGTCTCACTGTTGCCCAGACTGGAGTGCAGTGGCCGCTTCCAGCCACCGCAGCCTCGATCTGCTGGGCTCTGGCGATCCTTCCGCCTCAGACTTCCAAGTAGCCGGAACTACAGGCGCATGCTACCATGCCGGGCTAATTTTTGATTTATTGTAGAGATGAGGTCTCAACAAGTTGCCCGGGTGGGTCTTGAACCCACGGGCTCAGGCAATTTACTCACCTCAGCCTCCCAAAGTGCTGGGATTACAGACTGAGCCACCGAGCCCAGCCACAATGAGCTTCTTAATGCAGCACCCTGAAAGAGGTCCACTCACTCCCCTAGGTAAGGTGGCACACACATCAGGAAACTGAGGTTGCCCCTGAACCTGCAGTCACAGAAGCTGCCTCCAAGGACCTTCTGTGTGGCAGGGAGAGCAGAGAACACGGAAGGAGCAGAGCACAGGGCCCTTCATTAACAGGCAGCCAGATTTCAGAGCACCTGGAAGAAGCCAGGCTGCACAGGGCTAGTTCCCTGGAGTGTCATCCTAGGGGAGGTACCTGCACAGGCAAATGTGGGGACAGGAAGATAAGTGCGTTTCCCAAGTGAAGGATGCTTTGTCCCTTCTGCGACATTGGAATTTGAGCCTGTAAGCAGGGGAAGAACTGTCCATGGAAACACTCCACTACCACAGTGGATGCTACTGTGGACACCCTCATATGTGCCTGACACTGTTCCAAGTGATTTATATGCCTTATCATTCATTTTTAACCCATAGAGTTGCAGATAGGGAAAAGGAGGCTCAGAGATGTCAAATGACTCGCCTAAAGCCTCACAGCAAACTAAAGCCAGAGCCAGGAAGTTTGAACACAGATCTGTCTGAATCGAGGCCAAGTCCTTTTTCCCTTGGCCATGGTGAACTCTGAGAAGGGGCATGACTCGATGTAAGTTGAGACAGATAACGGTGGCTAGATGAGAGGAGGTAGAGACCAGGGTCAAGGAAGCCATTATGCAGCTATTCTAAATCAGTGGAGGGAGGGTGGATGAGGGAGGTGCTCCAAGTGATCAGGATTTGGGTAACCAGGCCCCGAGAGGAGCAAGGAGAGAGGAGGAGCCAGGGTCCCCTAAGTACCTGCCTTGGGCCTAGGTAAAGGAAGGAGTTGCAGGGGAGCTGGCTTCAGGAGGGAAAGATGAGATTCCTGTCAGTCACTGCAAGTGTCCCGGGGCAGGTAGATCACAGAGGACTCAGGTCTGGACCTGAGCGGTCAGGGCAAGGGTGAAACTAGGTTTGTCAGTCTTTAGTTTGGAGATGGAAACAAAGGCCAGAGAAGATAGAATGTCAGCCAGGGTGGCTGAAATAAGTCTGTGTGGTCAGGAGGATTTAATCTGCCAATAAGCCGGGCTTGGTGACTCAGCCCGTAATCCCGTGATTTGGGAGGCTGAGGTGAGTGGATTGCCTGAGCCCACGGGTTCGAGACCCACCTGGGCAACTTGGCGAGACCTCATCTCTACAATAAATCAAAAATTAGCCCGGAGTGGTAGCACGTGCCTATAGTTCCGGCTACTCGGAAGGCTGAGGTGGAAAGATCGCCGGAGCCCAGCAGGTCGAGGCTGTGGTGGCCGGGAGTGGCCACTGCACTCCAGTCTGGGTGACAGAGTGAGACTCCAACTCAAAAAACAAAAAAATCTGCCAATAAACGGGGTCAGTTGGCACCTCCCAGAGACCATGGAGACATTTAATAAATAGAATTTGACCATGGTGACCCAGACAGACAGCTGAGAGGACATAAGGAACTCCTTGTATTATACTGTTACTAAGTTATATATCAAGAAGACGTAGTGTGTTTTTCTTAATTTAATTCAGTATACTCATGGGTAGCACTGGGATGACTATGCTCTTGGAAAGTGCACACTTAACAGAATGCCAGTTCTGATTCAGGCTCCTTTACTTCCCATGATCCAGTGTTTGCTGACTGGCCACGTTCATGCCACAAACCTCACAGCCTTCCCTTATACCCACCTGCCCCCTGTAGCCTTTTCAGTTTGTGACCCCCACCCTAACCAGAGGTTAGCACACGTTTCCTCCAAAGGAAAGAAGAAATATTTGAAGGATTGCAGGTCTCTGTCACAACTACTCAGTTCTGCCAATTTAACACAAAAGCAGCCATAAACAACACATCAATGAATGGGCATGGTTGTATCTCGATAAAACTTTATTTTATAAAAACAGGATTTGCCATATTTATATCTTCTGACCATATTTTGCTAATCTGCCCTAAACCATTCCAGAAAAGCAGAGTCTTAAAAATCTCTTCTTGCTGTGAAGTCTTTCTCAGTAATGTGCTGTGGGGTCTTTCAGCCTCCAGATCCAATAAATTCTAATCAAGTTAGCTGCATTTTTAGCCTATGGCGCACTGTCTCGCTCCCAAGAATAGAAGGAAAGCTACACCCCGACACCCCACATGACTTGTCAAGAGGATGCCATTGGCATCCTGTGCACCAAAAATAATCTCCTGGTATATATGAAGGAGCAGTTAGGAAAAAAACAGAAAACGATCACATGAACTGACATCCTACAGACCAGAAAGGGCAAAGTCAATTTCAAAATTAAGATATCATTTTAGATTGATGTGGCATCCATATTTCAACTTCGACTCCTAGCAAAATGAAATGAGCATGTTCCTGCCACCCCGTGAGGTAGTGCAGGACCTTGATCACCATGTGGGTGTAAGTCGAATAAGGCTGTGCCTAATGACACTTTCCCTTAACAGTTTTCTTCTAGCTCGCTACTGACCTGACTCCCTGGGATGTGCGTTCTTCATGGTCTGGGAGACAGTGTTGGCTCCATCAGATGCGTGTGTTCTCATGTTCTGTGAGAGCATGAGCACTCTCGATCTCCTGCTCACTTGCTTTCTCTCCTTTTCCAACACATCTGCCTCACCACATGCACAGAATACACAGACACCATAAAGCTTAGTTCTTCCACGAGCCAGATCACTGTCTCCACTCTGCAGGTATTAGCT